ACATACAGACACACACACACAGACACACACACACACACACACACAGACAGACACACACACACACAGACAGACACACACACACACAGACAGACATACACACAGACAGACAGACACACACACACACACACACACACACACAGACAGACATACACACAGACAGTGCCGGGGCGGCCCAGGGAGTGGTCAGGCCGGCAGGGGGGAGCCTACGCCCTGCTTCCGAAGCCTCGTTAAGGCACTGCTTCCTCTTCTCAGCCCCTCCCCTGAGGGGGCAGGGGGGAGGCTGTCTAACAGGCCCGGCAGCAGAGCATGCGGATGGGGCTGAGGGGCGGGCAACCAAATAAACTCTCTTTTCCAGACGTACCGCCAGCGCAGAGGCACTCGGCCCAGAGTTTTACTGTCCCACGGCTTCCTTATGGGGGGCTTAAGCCCTACACCACCCAACCTCTCACCCACTCGGGGGGGCTCGGGGCCAGCTTAAAGGCATAGGCCTTCCCATTCAGGCCTGCGGGGGCACAGCAGCAGCGGTGGGGGGGGGTGGCAGCAGGTGGGAGGCAGCGGCACACTTACTTCTTCAGCGGGTCGATCACCGTCTTCTGGATCTGGTTCACCTGTGGAAGACGTAAGCATGCGGTTAAACGTGAGGCCCACCGACGACCCGATCGAGCAGCGAAACTTTCGTCTGGCTCACCAAAGCACAGCTAACGCATCAGGCAAACTCCAAGAGAGAGACCCCAACTTCAAGAGCTCGGGTATCACAGCCACAAGCAATTAGCAAATTAGCGCTTCTCCGTGTGAGTTTGTTTTGTTTTGTTCCGTTCCGTTCCACTCAAACGCCCGATGCTGCAGTCGTGCGACGAGGGGCGGGCGCCCAAACTCCGGTTACGCCGGCCCTGAGGAGGAATCCCTGAATATTCATGGGGCTCCGGAGGAAGCGAAGGGCCGTGGGGCCCGGGGGGTGGGGGGGGAGGAAGGGGACATGAAAGAGCATCTCCAACCCTGCACGGGGCGGGCTGACTAACTACATGAAAGTTTTTTTTTTCCTGCAAAAAAAACATTTTAACAATAAGAGTTTATATTTCCTGTATTTTCTTTCATTGCTAGCTGAGCCAAACAAAGAGCATGTGTGTCTCTGTGTGTCGAGGTGGGGGTGGGCGATCCGAGCAAATGAACATCTAATCTCTCAGACCAAGGTCACAGTCCTACCCAACGCAAAAGACAAGATATCATCTAAAGCCAGTCGAATGGGGCTTCTCACCCAGGAAACGCTGGCTTGCCAACCACCCAACAAATGGGTTGCTGATAACCCGAGAACACGCTTGCCAACACGGTAAACATTAGCGCTGTGCTCTCGTCGAGGCTCCCCGACCACGCGGCTGAGCGACAGCCACAACGATCAAATAACGTCTCGTTAAACTGAACCTAGTTAGGTGGTTGGTAACAATTACGTAAAGGAAGCGAAGGCCAGTGGAGAGGGAGGGGGAGAGAGAGAGAGAGAGAGAGAGAGAGCCGACATGCAGATTTCCATGGCCTTTGTGCCCCGCCCCCCCCACCCCGACCCTCCAACGGGGGCCACGGCAGCGCCCCGGGCCCGATCTGCTGCAGCGGACTCCCTCTGTGAGTCACGGGCCAGAGGCCACCACACACAGGCCTCCCAAAAATACATGAGTATTTCTCTGGTTCCCCCCCCCCCCACACCACTTGCGAGTAGAAATCAATACCCTCCACGTATGGGTAGCCTCGTCCGCCATTTCCGCTCATGAGCGTCCTCTGGGCTCGGCGATGCCGCGGGCCCGGCGCTTCAATGGTGTCCGCTTTAAACGCAGGAATAAACACGGAGCCGTACCCGGTGCCTGCTTTCATTAGCTTTCCACACCCCCCAAACCCCCCCCTCCCCCCCCACCGACAGTGCCCCTGGCCATACATCTCCGTTTGCAGGCCTCTTTCACAGGTGGAGGGGGAGGGGCGAGGACAAATATCCAGTTTATTTTTCTCAAATCTCGGCACTGCTAACACCAGTGAGCGCCAGGTGTGGGAGGGGCAGCCCGCACTCTGGGATTTCATCGACATGCTTTGGCTCCCTCAGTTAAAGTGAAGCGGGATGTAACAGGAGAGCTCCGGCGCCATGCTTCTCTGGTCTGCCCGACAGCGACACCTACAGGTCGAGATGCAAGTACAGGCTGTCAGCTAGAATGCACTAGCTCAGCTAAAAGACACCATGACAGCCGGGGAGCGGGAATAATACAGACGACAAGCTGGCAAGGGTTCATCTGACATAGAAGTGCTTAACGGAGAAAGGAACCGCGAGATGCAGACCGAGATGAACTGGAAACCGATCAAGAAACGCACAAAGCGATTATGCAAAGTCACTGCCACGATAGCGCAAAAAAAAAAAAAAACGGGAGAGGACGGTCTTGAAAGTCGTGATGTCTGCTTCAGAAAGCCTCCGTTCCGGTACCCCCTGTGCGCACTCCCACTCGATGCTCGCTGGGAACAGAAAATCCAGTCAGACCAGCATTTCGGCTCAGCGGGTTGCGAGGCTCACATCAGCGAGCGGGGAAAGGAAGGCCGAACACAATATGGAGATCCGGAGTCAGAGGTAACGTGCAGAAAATGCCGGAGTTCTGCCCCATTTCTGCAAACGGCTAACAGACCCCAAAAGCAGAAAGGTTTCTGGGTGTCCGATTGGCCTGGTGACCTTAACACCCCCCCACCACCACCAGAGGAGTGCCAAGTGTCTGAATCTGCCATATTGTGGGAAAGTGACTTCGGCTCCTACGATAGTGTGCGAATGACTCACCCCTTATCGCTACGCCGCATCACCAAAAGTGATTAATGCATCCCAGCCTTCGAATTGCACACTGCGCGGTTGGCTGGGTGGCGGCAGGAGGCCCATTCATGCTCCCTGACACATAAAGATCACGCCCCCGGGTTCACAGGGCAGGCCTCGCAGTTATGAAGGTCGCAAGAACTCAGGGGCGAGAGGAGTCATTACAGGAGGATATGGACCTGCCTTTGAAGACACGGGACTCAAAGGAAGGAATTGGCGAGCCGTGAAACGCACCGCACTTTTCAGGCAGAGCGCCGGGAGCATTGTTCCGTTAGTACGCGCCTGGTTATTTCACACAGAGCCGTAGGTGTGCCGAGCACAGTACACAGCCTCCGTGTGCCGCTCCGCCAGATTTTCACCTAAAGAGCCCGATGACGGCTGATTCAGAAATCTGCTGCGAGAACGTTTACTCATACCCAATCTGCCGAGGAGAGGAAGTGTCTATTGGGCGGCATCGTTATTTGTCTGAAAAAAAAAAAAAAACATGTATTTTGGAGGGTTCTGAAAAGCAATGGTGCTACTGTGAGGGTCTCGGGTGTCACCCGGACTAGGCCAAGGTTTCTGTGCCACAAGCCCGGGGTGTTCTGGCCAGGGAACTTCACCGCGGAGGACAGGGGTCCTTACAGCGACCCAAGGGCACAACTACGAGTTACAGAGTCTACGCTCATGTCTTGGATGGTCAGGGGCTGATGGGTGAAAGTGGTAGTGAGGGAAAGGTCACCAAAGTGACCAGCGTGCTTTGAGAGGGGACACCATCAAACGGAAAGGCCCAATAGACTATGGATCATTGCTCCCGACTCAACCAGAGACGGAGAGCAGAGAACGACAGAGTTCTTTTCACCCAACCTTACACACGTTGCGAAGACAAAAGGATGATTTCCTCTGTGATTCAGTCAGCTTCCAAAGTGAAACCCGTGATGCCCCAAGGACAGCTCACTTTCACTAACACTCACATTGCAATTACCTTCAAGTTGTGGGTTTAATCAAACATTGCAGTAGACAGAGCATTTACTCCTGAGGGGTGGGGGGAAAAAAACCCCTCGGTGAAAAGGCTCCTCTTTAAAAAAAACAGTCACAGGTGATCCGAGGAACACCCAGATACAAAGGAAAACATAACATTCTACGGTGGTATCCGAAGAGGGTTACGTCTCATTCTACAACTCCCAGTGAGTCATTGATGCATTAGCCTATATACCTCCCACAGACGAGCCACTGCAAACCAAAGGATAGAACAGGCTTGCCCCATAAAACGAGATTTTTACCAGAAAAGAACAAGACCGACCTGAGATGTTTCGCAACTATTTAGACATGTGCTGACATCACACGAGGACTTCCAGATTAAGAGTTATAAGCATGAACGGAAGACTCAAGAGTTCTGAAGAGGTGATGTACATCCACCCACCAAGAGAAGCGAAAAGGGGGTTCGTACCTTCTCCTGGTTGAAAGCATCCATGCGACGCATGGCCGTGTCCAGGGCCGTCATGGAGTCCAGGAGCGCCTGGTCCTGCTCACACAGAGGGTTACTCAGCAGGTCCACAGAGATCTTCACAGCAGCTTTGGACATGGCTGGGGGGGAGGGGGGGTGGGAAGCGCATCAGTTGGTGTTGGTTGGGAATCAACGTTCGCGAAATCATCGCAAATCTGGACAGACGTATCCGCAGCCCCGGCTCCTTCGTAAAGGCCTTGCCGAGTGCGTAAAAGCAGAAAAACCACGTTAATGAGGCAAAGCAGCCGGGCCTGGCGGTGGTCCCTGGTCACTTAAGGTGTCACAGCGGAGGAAGGCGGCTCTGCCGTCGGTCTGGTTCTTGTTATGTGGGTCAGCTCGTTAGCTTAAACTCCAAACAACAAATTCACACGACCAGGATGGAGGCTCCAGCAGACGTATAAGAACAGTACGAGTTTGAGTAACAGTATTTGGCTGAAGGAGTGAAGGAAAAAAAAAATCAAATATTTTGCGTACAGACGGTTAAATCTCTGATTCCGTTTTTGAAGGAATTAACATTAAGATGCTTTTGCATAATTCTCATCATACTGGGTGGAATTTAAAAAAATGTATTCCACAGAGCATTTTCAAATCTGTTTATGAACAGTGTGGTTTTATCATATAATTCCTTCCCACTTAATTTACCTAGCTGTTATTTTAACGGGTAGTTTATTCGATAGTATGGTATGTTCATGTATGGTATTTATTAAAAAGCTAATTGAGGCACTATTTATTGTTTTAATAGCCACACATTGTTGAAGTTTTCCTCAGATTATAGCTATGTATTTCTGGGTTAGCTAACAGTCTGCCTTAACCTGTTAGCTGAACAGGGCTAACTAACGGCAGATTAAGAGAAGTTACTCATGTGATGCCACGGCTCTTCAGCAACTACATCGCTAAATATTCTCTGGGTAGTCAAATCGTCGAGGATATCGTTCTAAGGAAAGTTTGACAGACAGAGATTGGGGGGGAGCGGGAGGGGGCGCTGGGTGAACGGGGGCAGAAAGGAAGCTGGGTGGCAGTGTTGCGTTGAACAGGGAGGAGTCGCATGCCGAGGCGGGGGCTTCTTAATTACTGCGACGGAGCTGACAGCTCAGTTACTTTGATGAGTCTCCGCGTTTTCCGATGGAAACAAAGGAAATTTAAAAGCGCCCCCTCCGCACGAGACGATTGAAGTATCAACCGAAGGCAAGTCTGGTTCCACCCCCCTGCCCTCCCCAAAAGGCAAATAAATAAATAAATAAATAAATGAGTAGTACAAGATCCCCTCTCTCCGCGCTGTGGAGAAGAAACAAAGAAAGTAGCAGCTCACAGCATTTACACCAAACCTGAAGAAAAGTATTTCACCTTTTGATGCCAAATCTTACAGGCTCCAACTTGGTGAAGTTTTTAAGTTTTACAAAGAGGAACTATAAAACGGCGCAAGTTTAGAGTCCATCTCTATCTGCTGATTGTCTGACATCTGGCTAGTTTCTGAGACCGTAACCTCCGCGTCATGACCACCCCAAGCCCCAAGGTCCGCACAAACCTAGGTCAGCTTCAGTGCTCTTCTTCATGTCTTTGTGAAGCTTCTTTGTTTGGTCCTCCAGTCTGCAAGAGAGAGGCAAGTGCCTGTTAGACCACGGGAGCCTGAGGGGGGGCGCTGCCGCGACATGCCGTGCCCCGGTACTGACCCGTTTCACGCGCCTTTGTCAATTAGCCCGATCCCCTCCACCTCCTGAGACTTGCCAACACTGTACAGCTCAATTTGTTCAATTAGTGGGTGTTAATGCTGCCAATTACTGCACTGGGATTAGGCTGCATGGGAGGGGGGGGTTGCTTACAGCAGTTATGAAATAAATGCTAATGTTAATGGAGATCTGATTATAATGACCAGGACCCAAAAGCAACAGATTTTTCATTTTTAAAAAAACAACTCAGCCAGCGACCAGGCCACGTTCTCAGGGTATATGTTTGGTCACCATGGTCCAAGAATAATGACATTGAGCAGAGCATTATTTAAAATCCGCCATCAGAATGACTAAAGCGGGCGATCTCAAGCTCACTGTCACTTTATATAGTACAGGGAGGTATAAATAAGATAGAGGAAAGTGACAGACTGACTGAATCATATTTATTAGAGGAAAGAGGAATTCATTCTGGAAAACATGATAATCACCTCATTAATATTCGCAGGCAGGCTATAACGGCCAGCTAAATGGCATAGCTGTGGGGGCTGGGAACCCTGTAGATGGGCCAACGTCATTGCCACACCACGCCACACGAGGCGCCCTTCTGCTAGCATCAAACCCAGGAAGCATCTCCCAACAGAGAAGTTTTCACCACGAACAGGTCGGCTACCTGAACCCCCCCGTGCTGCGGTGATTGTATTGTGGCTGCCCGAAATAAAACCTCGATGGACATGACTGACGTTAAAGTCTGCCCCATTTCAGGAGAGGGACTCACCAGTTGGTAAAAATAAGATGATAATATGATAATGATTCTTCGACAAACAGATCTTGTTGTTGGAATATTTCGTTAATCAAAGCAGCCACTGGCTGTTTGCAGGCAAGTGCTTCTCTTTGTTTAAAAAACAGAGATTTGTTTTCCCTGTAGGAGGCTAATGGACCAGTCACAGCACCACAGCGGCCCTTGTGGCCCGGTGTCTCCTAACCGTGTCAGTGTGTCCCACAAAGGCCTGGTCAGTAGGACACGCTGCCACCGGGCAAAGACATTCGTTCAAAAAGGGGACACCAAAAAAAAAGAAAAAAGGTAACAGG